CAAGCAAATAATGCCCGCCTAACAGCGGGCGAACTCCACGGCCATTTCCCAAGGAAAATAAGGTAATTCAGGGCTCGAGACTAACAGTAGCCAACTAGCCACAGACTAGTAAAAATTCCATTTTGGCTAGTGGTTTTTGTGCTTCACCAGCCATTTTGGCCAGTGAAAATGAAAATTTGTGAGCACTGGAGGCCCAGAGGAAACCAATTAACAGTTAATTTCAAATTTTTCACACAATGAAATCGAGTCAAAGCATGCAGAGTTTAAAACATCGGCTGTAATAAATATCATATATAATTTATTGGTCCAAACAAGAACTTTAAATTACTAAAATGCAAAAGAATGATTGACTTTTTTGTTTGTTTTTTTCCCTTAGTAAAAAGCAACGAACGACAAATGATCTGCTTGCTGCTAATGATAAGTCATGAAATCATGTGGAACTCTAGGGATCATATTTTATGCGCGCAGCATCTGGAGGTCACATACACTTTCAAAAAATTAAAAAATTCGTAGTTGTTTGAAAATTTGAATGATGCCTACATAATATCAATGCCTATGTTTGCAACTTGTAAATTATCTTGTGTTCATGAGAAATCGTGAATCGGCATTTTGAAAGAAAGGAATGTTTTTTGGCGGTGAGTTACAAAGTTCTGTGGGAATTTCTCACGGAGGTGAAAACTTCAGTTTTTGTTGTTGAGCGATGCCTATAATTATAACATCGATGCCTATGTTTGTAAATGTGTGCGTCTGGCTAGTGAAAAATTTGTTTTGGCTAGTGAATCAAACCTGTCACTAGCCACTGGGCTAGCAAGCTGAAAAGTTAGTCTCGAGCCCTGCAGGTTTGTACTTAGATCCAAAACCTTCCCCACAAAAGACTCGCTGACGCAGAAACACAGCAATGTTCAAGACAACAATGACGTCACAAAGCCCAATCTCAGTTCCATTCCTCCATTAAAGTGCACGGTCATTTTGGAAATGTTTTTGTGAAGCCATCGGCTGTCTTTGTACTCTTAACATTTTTACTCCTTTTCACGGCTCAGAAAGAAAAATTTCCGCAAAAGTTTCGTTTTACATGTGTTTTTTAACATTTCTTCACTATAAAATGGCTGAAGAAAAAATGTCTAAATTTTGGTTCATTTGACCTTTAAAACAGCTTGTCATAAATAGCTATAAATGATTGAAACTCAAAGGTCTACATTCCAGTCCCCATAAAAATAAGTGTCTTGAATCTGTACCGCGTGGTTGAAACTCATATTTCCAAAATCAATAACACCAAACACTGTCAAATCATTGTCAGTTTTATACCTGTCTTTCGTAGCCAAAATTGATTAATCTGCAAGTTGCCTGAACTATATCTATCTACATGTACCTATTATCTATCTACTGCCCTACACAGGAATCTTACACTAGGAATGCAAAGAATGTTCAAATGTCTTACACAGGGATTTACCAAACTCACAACATAACCTAGTGTCCAAGGTCACGTGGACACAAGGCAAAAATGGGAGTCATCTAGCTCGTTTTTGAGTTTTTAGTACTTAAAGCTAAAGTTACAGGTGTTTTTTTAACAAGTTGTAATGTTGTTATGGTAACCTGTTACATACAAAAAGGATGAGTGCAACTTGTTTAGCAATGAGTGATACCATTATTCATGCCATCTGACAGGGTGCAGAAAAACATTACATATTATGCAGAAATTTTCAGGATCTCAAAAAATGTGCAAAAAAGCATTGATTATGCGGAAAACACACTGCATTATGCAGCAATTTCAAAGGTTAACAAAATTGATAACAAACTGTTTTCAATGTGCTGAACAACAGTGAAATGAAGAGCACTTCAAAGTCTTGTCCACAGTTTAAGCTCAACTTTGCCACATGCTTAATCTGTTTCAAGTATTTGTTGACAGGCATTTCTTCATTTAACAAAGGTTTTCTGTAGAATTTTACCTGAAGAATTCATAGTTGCATTCTTGGAACATCCGTAACTTAGTAACTAGACATTACATTGGCTGATGAGAAACTAGTTTCCAGGCTCTTCACCTAAAGTAGGTTGGAAAGCCTGGAGGTTAAGTAATGGTCCGCATAAGAACTAGGAAGGCCAAATGCAAAATCGATTTAAAAGTGTGAAGTCTTAACTATTAATTTCAATTAAATCAACAAACCTGATTTGTTGATATCAAAAAATTGTTGAAAAAAGAAAGAAAATAGATAAAAATTACCCTTTTTGGCATAGTTTACCCCATACCCCTTATTTCTATCACTCGGCCAAACTTGAGCAATGTCTTATGGGCCAATCAAAAGTTATAGAGGAAGATGTGTTGAGCTCATAAAACTAACGCAATGTGCCATATTGGACTCAAGCTAAATAAATGACGTTTTTAGAATCACAGGAAAGTCTGGAATGAATGGTGTATTTTTTGCCCATATGAAAACTAGCTGCCATCCTAAGTATGTTTTTTAAGGCTATTCCTTTTGGAGTAGCCACAAGATTGAAAAGAAACTGCTCTGATGAAATTTTGAAAAGGTGTTGGCCAGTAGAACTGTCGAAGAGTTGACTTCCTTGTTCATCAGGTTCATCGCGCTATTCCAGCCATTGAAATCTCACTGGGTGTGTTTATCTATCCCACCACTGCCACTATGTTTAAAGTATTGGCAATGAAACAGCAAGAATCCAAGGAAAATTACGAACAAGACTTCGCTCATATGAACATATACATTTACAAGATGGTGGACAACTCGGAAGTGAGAGGAAGCTAGAGCCAGTCCCTCTGCGTATGACCACGCACACAGTGAACATTTTGCTTTCCTGTTTTCAAGGCCTATCTCTCGCCCATTATAAACATTGCACCGGCCATGGGTTGTGTATCCCTGTGTGTGTATTCATTGTTCTTGCAAAACCAGAGACATGGTGCGCCCTTGGCTGCCTGGCTCTTTGTTTGTGACAAGTTGTTTGGAACTTTACTTAATTTTATCAGAGGGAATGAGGAGAAATGCAATTATACACTTCGGGAAATACAAACCAATAATTTGGACTGCGCGATCTGTGATCTGTGATTTGACTGAAACTTCGAATTGATACATGGAATATTCACCGGGAGCCCATTCTAGGTAATTCTTAAAGCAGTGAGTCAGTTATTTGCAGTTATTTTGTAACTGGTATTGTCCCCTTTGACTTAAAAGATCAAAATAAAGAACACGGCTGGAGTGTCTACATGCGTGAGGTTTGTTTTTCCTGTTCAATCACTTTTGTGACAGCTTTCTTGAAACCTGAGCGCTTATTCTGAACATTTGAGGTCACTGATTGACATTTTACCTGAATGTGCTTTTACCAATAATTTGAATTCCCCATAAACTGGCACATAGAAACTACTTGAGCTTCACGTATTTCATTTTTCAACTCACCGTGAATACATACGTGAAAGAAAAACTTGTTTAAGTGGATTGCAAGTGAGGTAACTTAGCAACTAAAATTCAAAATTTGTGTTTAAATACTTAAGAGCCAATGAGGACTGCTGAAATTGATTTGATTAGGATAATGAGCATGAAAAAAATAACTGCTGCTATTGCACTGGCCTATTGTTCTTTTGCCTAGTTCTTATGTGGACCATTACTTAATAATCATCATTTGTCACAAATGAAATGACGTGTTTTTGTCGCTGTTTTAGGAGAAAATGTACTTCAAAATAATCAATCTCTTTAGAATTTTTACTTGTGGGGATGGCAAGCAGCTGCGTTATCGCTAATATGAAATACGTTTTCTGTTCTATGCAGAAAAAAAGCTCTGATTATCCAGAGGATGCAGACATTAGCAAATTATGCAGATCTTCACCATCGCATCCTGTCAGATGCCCTGATTATTGTAGCATCACTTGATACCGTATTTACCCGTGTATTAGTCGATCCCGTGTATAAGTCGAGCCCCAATTTTTGAGGCCAAAACCTAGATTTTCTTAATTTCCAGGTAAGAATTTCTTGGAAAACTTATCTTAGAAAACTTATTTCTTAGAATTATCTTTCAACTACCAAAATATGTAAACAAATCACAGCAAGTTTCAACGCACAGTTTTAATAAGCTTATTACGGCATGTATACGAGCGTTTTACCAAGTTTAGAAACACATGTGCATGAGGGCTTTCTGACGATAATATTTGTCAAATGTTCACAAAATCAAACATAAGGATTTCAAAAGAACCTTTTTAAGTGTGAAGAGATTAAAAGTGGCTTTATAAGACAGGCAAAACACCAAACAAGCTCAAGACTTTCACTACTCCACAAAAAAGTGCAAAGTGTGCATTGGGAACTTGGTGGCCAAGCCTTGAAATCGGTCGAGTACTGGTACAGAAGTCCTCACGCTCATATCCTGCCAGGTTACTAAGCAGAGAAGTTCGAAGCATGAAAGATGTTTTCTCCGAGCGGCTTTACTACAGCTTTATTTACAGGAAAAAATATTGGTTCTTTATGACAAAATTGAGCCAGTGAGTGTCTACAAGATTCAGGTCAACATTTAGCAGATAAATGTTGATGCATTTTAACTTGAAGCTCTGATATAGAGAAACAGATCACTAAGCGAACATACGTTGTAAATTGTGCTGCCGCTTATTACATGTTCGTTAACACTGAAAGACAATCATTATGCTAATTATTTGACTGGCGCTTGGATCTCGAGTTTTGACCCATGTATAAGTCGAGGGCGAATTTTTGGACTGATTTTTAGGTCTTGAAAGGTCGACTTATACACGGGAAAATATGGTAAACAGTGGTAGTGTTCATCCTTCAAAGAACAACTGTGGGAAAAGTGCTGGGTGTTTAACTGTATACCACCAAATTTTCAGAACAAACCTCATAAATATACAGCCCTCGGTAGAGAGATATTGGACAGTGTTACTGTACACATGCACGACATAAATATATAACCCTAGGTACAGAGATACGGTATTGGACAGTCCGTACACATGCATGACATTGCATGCTGCGGCGGCAAGAGATAGTAAATTGCATTACCTGTTCAATGTTGTGAAGGAAACAATCTTTTCTTGCTTACTGGCATCTCTTTTATGGAAGGCATGCAAAATGTCATCTGTATGTAATGTTTCATAATGTCTTAACACATCTGCAATCTTATCTGAAAATAAAAGATTGATAATGATTAATTATATTCAACAGTCTTGCATGCATGCACTGTATGTAACCTTTTCAGGAAGACCTGGGAAATTATTTGTAAGGCGATGAAATAATGGGTAAACCAGTTTAGGCTGATTTGATTGAGATGTCCCAATAGCACACTCTTGGAACCACCGACTACATCTATATATGATTAGAAGCTGGTCAAGGCTAGCACTCAACTTCTGTTAGCCTAAACAGCACTCTAGCAGTCAAGGTAGCTGATAGCACCAATGGTTAACCTCGATTTAGCAGTAACTTGATCTAATGCTTGTAACAGTTAAAGCCCTCAATAATAGTAATGATGACTCAAATTCCATCAGGTGGCAGGCAACACTGCAGTGGTCTAGTAGCCATGATATGCAATCAACCTGGATTGGACTACACCAAGTAACACCTACATGTATACCTAGAGTTAGTAATAGCTATGACCTACTAAAACATATTTTTTTTCCTCTGACTGTCACACTTCTTGTTTTCAATATCACAGCATCTAACTACAGTAAGCTGTTGAACCTCTCATAAGTGACCACCCAAAATGTTAAGCCTAGGTGGTCCCTTACAGGAGATGGTCATGCATGAGAGCTTTATAGACCATATTATTGGGTCAAAATTTTGCCTCATTGGCATATTGTAACTGCAGAGACCTACCCTGTGCATAAGGTCATCTCTCTGAAGACTGAAAGAAAGCAGTGTATGTGCATTTTTCTATAAATTTTTAAATGTTTTTTTCATGTGAAAAGTCAATTTTCAAGAAAAGAAAATCCAGGACTTGCCATGGAAAAATTTCTGTCTCTTGTACTGCCCGGGAATGCAATAAAGTTACAACAAGTTATTATCCAATTTCAGTTCTATTATCTGTTAAGTGGGAACTGACGGGAGGTTAAAACAAAAAAAAATTAAAACTTTTAGCTCTAAAAGTGGTCACAGTCACTTAAGAGTGGCAGTTGCTTAGATAGTTATTTGACTTGGAAACTTTTGGCTGGCTTTCAAATGATTGTTATGATCATAGTGACCCCTCTGATCACTACAGAAAAAGTTGAGCAATCCATATGGGAACTGATTTCCATATGATTGCTGCCTTTGCTTACAATAGCTGCAAAGACTTCAGCCATCATACCATAGCAGTCGCAACCATCATTGTGAAAACAAATGCAGAGATATACTCTAGGTCTATATCAACAAATGTAGTGAAAATATAGAAAATGGCGCTCGTTTAACTTTGATTATGGCAATCATACAGAAACTGCTAGCTGTTGTCATCCCAAGGCCCGGGCACAATTTAAAGGAAATGGGAAGATGGGTGCTTGATCAAGGTTAACTTTAAAGGTTACCCTGATTGGGTCTACTTTAAGCAAAATTTTGGGTAAAAGTCCATTTTAATTTTTCTAGTTTCTACATGTTTTGGATGTGAAGACTTTGATCCAAGTTCACCTGAGTTGATCTGAGTTTGCCCAACCCCGATCAACGATTCAAGTTGATCCAGTTTGACTTTTGTACCCGCCTCATGATCAGTTACCAGTTTCAATGTTAAATTGCAAGTTCGGGCTCGTTTTCTGTGAATGGCAAACAGCATTTTGTTTGTTTCATGTCTCAGAATGACACTGAAAATTTGAAATAAAAGGTTTTCATATAAATTTTCAACTTTCCACTAATTACCCCTTCGGAAAACAACATCAAAATCATAAAATATTCTTCGCTTTAGGTTACTGCTTATATCGGTCCATTCGTATGCGAAGGAATGATAAATGATGTCATGCATTGGTTATAATATTTAGCCAAAATACTGCTATGATGAAGTAAACACAACAAAGACTGGCTTATCTAAACCAATCCTTAGTTTTACTTCACCTTCTCTCATTTTAGAGTACGCACAAGAGAATCAATTCTGAATTCTTCGCGAATTGCAAACCAAAATAAATGCAGAACTGGGCTAAAAGGCCGAGCCCATATCGGCGATCCAAGTAATCACGGATCCCTACACGATTTGAAGAGCTTCTTTCTTCTATTCAACTTTACAAAGGTACGATCTGATAGCATTCAACAGACGCAGAACGTGTGGTTGTTTCGAGTAGCTCTGCACTACATGCACTGTCACATGCAATCGTGCCGAAGATCGCCCTTGCGGCATGTTAGAAGCCAATCAGTTAAACCTGATTTAACAACGAAAAGCTTCATGTACTTACCAGTTTTGAATGCTGAGATACCGCCAAGAATTAAGATAGAAAGACAAGTGTGTAGGTAACTAAAAAACCTCATTATCTGAGTTGATACAATCAATATTAATCAGTAAAAACAGTTCTTTGCAAGAACTTTCTCAACGTTTCTAAAGACTCGGCCCTTCCGGTAGATTCCTTCCCAGTTCCTTTGCAAAAACAACACACGCACGGCAAACACAGCGGTCAAACGTCTGCGCATGTGCGAGCAATGGAGCGACTAAAAGGCGGTCAAAATATTTTCATGACATTGTTCTTTTCGTGGGTCATCGG